GCCACTGTGCAACAAAATACACAAACAGTGGGAAGACGAAGCCACCGGAAAGGACACAAAGGACATGACACTGCTGGAACCTGGTGAGTTTCTGCAAATATGCCTTTTAATTGCAGCAGTGGGGGAAAAGGAAGTGCAGAGCAGAGCAAGAAAGGAAGTCCCGCACCCAGTTCATCAAGCTCATCCGAGGATATTCTTCATGGCTTGACTCCTGCAGATCAGTTACTTTGAGGAGCCAGACTGTAGTAGTAACTAGCTACTTCTGCACTGGAAAACATTCTGATCCTAGCGTTATTGTAAAAGCTTTAAAAAGAATCTTTAAAAAAAATCTTATTTTTACCTGCTCAGCCTGCCATACCCTGCTGAGCACAGAATTTAAAACTTTTGCTTTGCCCTTGTGTACTGCTGGGGAGACATGCTTATGTGGGGTGTATGTCTGCACGTAGAGGCCAGAGACCAACATGGGGGGCTTCCACACTGTGGGGGGGTGGTGGCATGTTGGAGTGGGATGTATATATAAGCGTGTGCATGTAGAGGCCAGAGACCAACATGGGGGGGGGCTTCCACACTATGAGGGTGGGGGGCATGCTTATGTGGGGTGTATCTGTGTGTGTGCACATAGAGGCCAGAGACCAGCATGGGGGACTTCCACACTGCCGGGGTAGGGTCATGCTGGTGTGGTGTGGATGTGTGTGTTCACACGTAGAGATCAGAGACCAACATCGGGGACTTCCACACTGCAGGAGTTGAGGAGCATGCTGGAGTGGGGTGTTTGCATGTGTGCACATAGAGGCCAGAGATCAGCATGGGGGACTTCCACAGCAGTCTCTACCTTGTTTTCTTTTGAGATAGGGATTCTCACTAAACTTGCAGCTCACTAATTGGCCAGACTGGCTATGAGCAAACCCTGGGCTCCTCCTGCCCCTCCTAACCAGACGCACTGCCGAGCCCAGATTTTACATCAGTGTTGGGATCCAAACTCAGGCCCTCTGCTCGCACAAGTACCGCTTTGCTGGGAGCTGTCTCCACAGCTCAGGCCCTACTCATGAAACTGAGAGTACCTCTGTTGGTCCACAAGGATTCTGAGCTGCTCTGTAGTGACCACTATCAGGGATAGTGACCACCACAATGCAGTCTAATTAATTCAAACTTTGAGCAGTCTCTACTCCAAGCTGCATTTGAGTGATTAGCTAGTTTTTTTTAACCTGGTCCAGCTCAGTAGATCCCAAGTTCTTGACTTCCCAGCAACCCAATTTTTCCCTGCTGTGTGTACACTGGTCCTAAAGCCCTAGCCGCACTCTGGACTGTCATATTAGCTGCAGAGGAGATAAGGAGCAAGAAAAGCATCCAGTCACCCAACCACATTTCTGCTTTTTTGTACAACTGCAGATGAAACACAGTCACTCAATAAAGTCCTTCTGTTTCTCTTTCCCTCCCTCCCTTTCTCTCTCCCCACTTGCCTGGACAGGGGAACCCTAGACCCTTTGGAGGTCCGCCAGTCACACCAAAAGAATCTCTTGACTATTTTCCCAGGGAATTCCTGCCTTAAATGTCAGCAGAGCACAGCTCTGCAGCAAAGGCAGTGGCTTAAGGTCCGAATCAAGGAAAACGCACTTGTCCTACCTACGAGGCATGGGGCAAGAGGAGATGTTGAAAAGATCCTGCATTCGCTGGGAACCAAGTTTACTCACCTCTACTTCAGCAAGCTGAGTTGAGCAATCCAAACCTTGCTGCTGCTCCTGAATCACTGTTTTTATCTGGCTCTGTGAGAGGGAAGAAATGCTGGAAATTACCCTGAATTATGACCATAAGGCAATGACTGATGAGAGCGTGAAGCTTCGCTGGTCCTTTCGCTGTGGTGGCTTTAGTGGCTATAGAAGCTGCTGCTGTTTGGCTTGTGTGTTTGTTTCTAATGAATATACTGAAACATAAGAACTCTGGGGGTGGGGGACTCACAATGCCGAGATTTGTGAAGCAGAAACAAGATTATTAGATGAGGTTGAATCTTCTTTACCAGGTTGCACACACCTCCTAACCAGTACTGAGACATCGCTTTTGTCTTAGTCTTTAGTCTGAACACATGGAGAAATATTAAATTTCTGTGGGTGAGAGAAGAGGAAGAACCCAGAGGTCTCAAAGATATCACACATAGTCATCAGTACCGAAGGAGAGCAGTGTGGTAGCAGGTTAACAGCTCAGAAGCACGGTGTGTCTGTTGGCCAGGCTTTGCTGAGTTCCTTGTGTTTTGTAAAATTTTCCTTGTGTGTTATTAACCTGACGTCACAAGGCTCTTCAACAATAACTGCAGAAGGTGGTCTGACATGGAAGGCCAATTTTAACATGGTGTGCCATGTGGATATGCTGTCTCCATAGAGACCATAGCCTGTAGAGTAAAAAGCTTAAGATTTAATTACAAAGTTACTTCACTCATATGGGTCTGTGAGGGTGTGTATGAATGTGTGTGTGAATACATATGTATGAGTGTGTGTATGTGAGAATAAGTATGTATGTGTAGGTATGTGTGTGCATATGTGTGAGTGTGTGTGTATGTATGAGTATGTGTGCACATGTGTATGTATGTGTGTGTATGTATGAGTGTTTGTGTATATATGAGTGTGTGTGGTTGTGTCTTGAAGTCAAATGTCAACATAGGTGTCTTTCAGTTGCCTCCACCTTCTTTGAGACTGGTCTTCCATTGAAGCAGGAGCTCACCGATACAGGTGGACTGGTCAGTCAGAAAGTCCCAGGGCCCCTCCCACCCCCAACTCCACAGTACTTGAATTGTAAGCATGTGTCACTATGCTGCCTTTTATGTGGGTACTGGGGATCAAATTCATGTCCTCAGGCTTCCATGGCAACCACTTTACCAACCAAGCCATTGCGGAAGCCTCATGTTAGGGCACTTTAAAAGACTTAAGCTATTAGTACCCAATGTGAGAAAACAAATTAATTCCTACTGTCCTTTGCATCTAACTCAGATGCAAATGGCTGAGTTTAGAAGCTGTTGTTACCTGGACTAAATTTCCTACCTCCTCACTTGAAGCTTTCTTCCTACTCTGTCTCGGCACCCATGTCCTCAGGCAGGCCCACAGGAAATGTCCGTCTATATCCAACCAAGTAGCTTCTTGCTGCACTAACCTGAAACGGTGGGAAGATGAGAAAAGCCAACTCAACTACAAATGGGATAACCATGCCCAACAAAAACTACTTCCGGTGGGTAAAGAGTTAACCCCTCCCTGTTCTGTCTTGGGATACTATGCAGAGTACCAATGAGTATAACAGGTGGTGCCAAATAGGGTGGCTCCTCCCTTGACGGGAACACTTGCCCCCTAGGAACTGGACCGTCAACACATTAGCCAGCCAGAGAAAAGGGAAACCCTGGCAACCAAGTTTTTCTGGCAGTTTGTGAGGTGGCAACGGGAACTGCAAAGGCCACGCGGGGCATACAGATGAATCCAGGGAACCCACAGTCGTCCCAGCACCCACAGCCCCAAGAAATACTCGGCCCTGTGAAGTCTTGGATCTCAGTGCAAGGTGTTTTCACAGAGCGTGAAACCCTTCAGAACTACTTGAGTTCAGGTACCCTGGCTCCATTTTCTCACACTTAGTCATCTGCCCAGAAAGTCTAGGGTTTTAGTTAGTGGGGGAAATGCACAGCTTTTTAAAATCTAAACAGTAAATCTCAAGAGTCTGTACGAAATGCTTCCAAGGGGCTTTGTGATTTCTTGCAAACTCTCCCTCCCCTCTCACCAGAATATTCTGACTTCAGCAAGAATGTCGTTAAAGGTTTCACAATCACCACAGAACGACAGCACTGTGAAGGAAGTCCATACAAGCGTTGTTACCTGAGAATTACTGAGGAAAAAGTATTACAGTGTTCCTTTGGGATCCCTTTCCCAAGGAGGGCTGAGAGCTTTGTACAGGCTGCCTTGTCTCAAGCGAGCAAGTCAGACACCTAGGCAAAAAAAATGTAAAAGTGCAAGAGTCTTTCACTTCTAAATATCTTTCTTATCATACTGCATACTAAAAAATATATAGAGATACACACACACACACACACACACACACACACACCTCCAATCTAAAATGAAGAAATCAGAGAAGCCCACAGGTATTTATCACAGTTTTAATTGCTGAGTTGAGCAATGTATTCCTGATAATCATTATAATGATTAGACATCATTGATCAATTATCAAGACACACTCAGAAACTAGGGGTTAAGATTACTCCTTCTCTACGCACCTGGGGTCTATCTAAGGAAAAAATCATAAAGATGATTTGATCGGCATGTAGGTGTTTCCAACGCCCTCTGCAGCATGCCAGGTGGGGACAGCTTCATGACCGACCATGCAGCTATGCGTGTAAAGGGGACCCACACTCTGCTCAGCTGCCTGCTGTGACAATCTTAAAATCCTGAGTAATTTCTGAGCACTGGGTCCTGCACTCAATTTGAACAGCAAAGTATAGCGTCAGCCCTGTTCCCAGGTTTCCAAATACTAAATTTTTTCTATTGTTCCTAATAATCCTGTCCCTCTCTAACCTCTGTGTTTTTAAAATCTGCTGCTTCATCCAAAGAAATTATTATAATAATCATTATTCTTATCGAACTCAGGAAGTGGACACTGTAAGTGGAGTTACAGCTGTTTGTTATGATTATCTTCGTACACATTTCAAATAGAACTCACTGGCTGTTTGCCACTCAAAAGACAGTGTCTAACTCCCAATTCTTCTGAATTGCTGGGTCATACAAACCTGTTTTCTATTAGTTGTTCAGTTTCAATAAAAAAAAAAACCTACAAGGCAAATCCTCCCCAGTTATTCGTGATCAGATTAATCCAAATAAACACTCAGGGAAGTCTTCACTTGGAAAGATTAGTAGCAAAAAGAAATACGTCAGCAAGTGCTTTGCATCCCTGAAATGCCTGTGTCTCCAGTGATCAGGTACGGAGACGATTTCTAGTTCAAATATAACTTAGCGATTGCCACATGGTGCAGAATCTTTCCACCCCTACACTCCAAAAACCCAATCAGACAAGTGCCCGTAATCTGACTCCCAGTTCACTGGAGCCCAGGGGCAGGCAATGAGAGCTGCACTCTGGCCAGGGACGGCATGAGTGACAGAGCTGCAGCGAGGCGGTGGGGGTAAGTTCTGCTTTGCTTTAAAGAAACAATGCTGCGCGCTACCAGATGAAACTCTTTCATTGCAGATATCCATGTCTTCTCAGATCAGAATCTAGAGAGCAACAACTGGACAGGTTGGGGGTTCTTTGAAGCCTGGGGACTAAGTTTAGGCACAAGAGAAGCAGAGGAAAAGGAGAAGAAAGGGGATGCTTTTTAGCATGGGAATTTACTCTGTAATAATTTTCATTAGAAAAATTACTCACCCGGGAACTGTCCAGAAGTGGATGAGACAGTGTATTCAGCTAGGGTGGAACGTGTCTGGTTCACTGCACTCGGGTCATATCAACAAATCCCCCTTTGTTCTGGGGGAAAAAAATCAAAACAGCAAGAACAAATTCTGTTGGTCCATTTCTGTGAATGTAAACACATCAGGCCATGTTAATGGTGATGGTGCAGCCGTGGGCAATGCTGGCGAGATTCCCACAAAGGCAGAGAGATACATAGATGCTAGAAGTTTTGAGGTCCACAGCTAGATGAGGCTGCTTTAGGGGATCAAATTTTTTGTGGGTTTTAAGAAAAAGAAGGGGCTAAAACCATTTTAAGGTTTCTAGTTACTGTTCACAGGCTTGGCTGTTTTGTTCTTCAGTTTCTCTGATGAAAATTTGAAGTTTAAAGAGCAACTGAGTTTCTTGCTTAGGTCTCTGGAGAGGGGGACAGGTGTGCAAATGAGCAGGGAGAGGTGACAAAGAGGTGTTAAAGGGAGAGGCTGGCCATTTCCAGGACCGCCTCCCCTGGGTGCCCTGCTCCCTGCCCACCCAGTTCCCTTTACTTCCTGCTTGTTCTCTTTCCTCTGTGTCGGGCTGGAGAGGACAGCGCCTGTAATAGCCTCTCTGCCACCTGGCTGCAACCTGGGCTGCTGGTGAGTTCAGAAGTGACTCTCCTCACTCCTGTTTCAATGTGAGTTCTCAGAGCTTTTCCTCTTGGGGACCTTTCCCACGCCTCTCCCAGGGCGCCCTCTCTGCCCCATTCCAGCTGCTGTTTTTACCTCTCTGTTATCTCCCCTAAGGCATACATCATGCATTGTCCCAGCTGCGGTCTTTATAATTGCATGATTTACTTAGAGGACCTCACTTGGGCAGGGGACATCTGGGGTAGAGCTGGCTGCCCCCTTGGGTAGGCGAGCATGAATCCAGCCTGCTTTCCCCTTTCGAGTCAGAAGGAAAGCCCCATAGTCAAACAAATAGCAAAGGAGAAGCCTTAAAGGTGAAGAAAGCCTTCTGCAGTCTGTGCCATCCGGGGCTTTCTTACTACCAACATGGAACCTAGGCTCCCTAGACCAATAAGTGATATTCAAAAGATAAGAACCTTGCAATATGTGTGGGAGGTTATGCAATTCTTGAGCCCTTGGTTTTCCAGCCAGCCCTCTACATAGTCTACTATGCTAAACTCTGCCTATCTGTCTTATGAGAGAGAAAAATGAATGTCCTAGGTAAGGAGGTGACTGGGGTGACTGCCCTTCCAAAGGGGAGTTTAATAATTTCTGGTCAAAATAAGCAGTTGCGTGGGTGTCTTCCAACCCCACCCTTTTCAACTCCGAAGATCTAAAGACAGTAAGGAAGGGACATGGCAAGAGCAAAGTGACTCCCTTCCCAAAGGCTGCTTTGGCATCTCTCATTTCCTGACCTCTTTCCCAGCTGCTTCCTCACCTCCTGCTCCCCTCCACATCTCCACAAGCTCCTCAAGAGGAGGCTGATAGTGCTCCAGGGTCTAGTCCAAGGGAGAGAAGTCCTCAAGGAGAAGCACCTTAGCCCTCCTCACAGAGCCTCAGCACTGTTTCCTGACACGCCCCCTCTTTGTTGCTAAATATCTGAGCTCTGTACCCTCAGGGCAGGTAGAGTGCATGGGGCTGGCTTTCATACTCCAAGCTCCCAGATTTGGAGGAACGGGTGTTTAGGAGAGCTGTCCCAGTGACTGTTGAGGGACAATCGAGTCCGAGGAGGCACTATTCTGCCTCTCAAACCCTTTTGAAGCTCCCCTCTCTGGTACCTGACCCCTCTGACAGCTACTTCTGTCGGTCCAACTGGGAGCCTGGCACCAGCCTGGAGTACCCACAGCCTGCCCTTCCAGAGTCTCTCAGGCTCCCCACTGGGTACTGAGATTGTCACGTCCCAGAGCTACAAGCCCAGATCTGCCCAAGGGCTGGGGCCTCACTGGCTCCCAAGCCACTGCCACCTGCAGTTTTCCACCTTCTTGCCCAGGTCAACAGAAGGGAGTGTCCCTGTACCAGCTGAGTCCCTGCCTGTCCCCAGGGCAAACACCAAGTATCGGAAGCCCTCCACGACTTTACCTTCCCAAAAGACAGTTGCACAGTCCCAGCTCCAAATCCACACGCTCTTGAGGGTAGGAGTGGGTACAGGACTCTATAAATTTATTTTCAAAATGCCTTTGTGAAGCTACAAAATGCAAAACTGGAAAAGATCTGCCTTTGTAAGGTATGTTTTTCCTTCTTCAGAAAGGTATTTTCTTTATTCTTCAGAAATGTATACATAATAAAATATGATCACATCCATCCACATAGTTATCTTATCGAACTCCCCCATATTCCCACACCCCTAATCTCTGGATGCCCTCATCCTTGGTCATAGGAGCATCCTCTTGCAGTGGGCAGCAGATGCTGCAGAGACGTATAACAGGCACTGGGAAATCAGTCCAATACTGAGCGCTCTACCCCCTTCTTCAATTGAGTTATTCATGTGTGTGATGAGTGGTTTGCCTGCAGGTGTGACTGTGCACCACCTGGGTGCAGTGCCCATAGATGGCCGGAAAAGGCTCTGGAGCCTCCGGAAGTGGAATCACTGTGGTAGATTGTCACTGTGTTGGTGCTGGGAATCAACAGAGGTCCTCTGGAAGAACAGTTAGTATTCTTAAATGCTGAGTCATCTCTCTAGAAAACTCCCTCCACTTCAAATGCTTTCTGTTCAAAACAAAAGGACACATGGAAAGTATATGTTTAAAGCTTGCCTAAGGGAAATATATTCCCAGCTAAATATATTTTATTCTTAAACTCTTAAGGAACTTGGTTGAGACAGTGTCCTTTCTAGGGACAGCTGGGGTTGCAGCCCAGGAACTCGAAGGAGATCAGAATAGCAACCTCTTGGCTACTAACTAGGGAGACTTCCAGAAGTATTCTGTCTTGGTTTGCAAAGGGTGTTCAACAGCCCATCCCCAGCCTGCAAGACCGAAGGTCTGACCCCCTCCGACAAATTTCAATGCCCATTCCGGCTAGAAATCTAAGTTAGGTTGGTGGCTTTCTGATTCTTATTGTGTTCCTCTTTCCAGTAAGTGTGGACATTCGTGCAATAGAGAGAGGATCATGGTGGCTTTCAAAGGGGTCTGGACTCAAGCTTTCTGGAAAGCGGTGGCAGCAGAATTTCTCGCCATGCTTATCTTCGTCTTGCTCAGCCTGGGATCCACCATCAACTGGGGCGGGTCAGAGAACCCCTTGCCTGTGGACATGGTCCTCATCTCCCTTTGCTTTGGACTCAGCATCGCTACCATGGTGCAGTGCTTTGGCCACATCAGTGGTGGCCACATCAACCCCGCTGTGACAGTGGCCATGGTATGCACGAGGAAGATCAGTATTGCCAAGTCGGTCTTCTACATTGCTGCACAGTGCCTGGGGGCCATCATTGGAGCCGGAATCCTCTACCTGGTCACACCTCCCAACGTGGTGGGAGGCTTGGGAGTCACCACGGTAAGAACTCTTATGTGTGCTTATTTCTATTTTAGGATACCAGGATGCTTACAAACTATGCTCCAAGCTGGCTCAGGGCCATGAGAGGCAAACACAACATAGCCTGATCAAGAAGCGAGGGATGTAGCTCAGTTGATGAACAGCTTGCCTGGCATATAGGTCCTGGGGTACAGTGGCGTACATCTACAATACCAACACATGGGAAGTAAAGGCAGAACCAGAGGTTTGAGGTTGTCCTCATCTATGTGTTGAGTACAAAGCCAGTCTGGACTACTTAGAAAATTGTCTTTAAAAAAAAGTGGAAACTTATTATAGTAGTTTTTAAAATACACACAGAGGAGCCAGGCATGAGGGTTGCCTATAATCCCAGCCCTTGGAAGGTTAAAGCAGGAGGATCAGGAGTCAAGGCCACCCTGGATCATACAGTGAAACCCAGTCTAGACAGAGGAAAGGCATTGAGAGGACATCATTGTTTACTATTTAGTGACTTAAACATGATTAAGAAGATCTCAGCATGCTTTGTTTCTCTCCCACCACAGTAACAACGTAACGACATGAGTATGGTTTTTGTTTTTTTTTTTTGTTGTTGTTGTTTTGGTTTTGTTTTGTTTTGTTTTTGTTTTTTTGTTTTGTTTTTTTTGAGGCAGGCTCTCACATTCATTCTCGAGCTCAGGCTGGCCTTGAACTTGCAGCAATCCTCCCGTCTGGGCCCTCTATGTGCTGGGATTACAGGTGTAAATCAGTGTGACTGGCTTGACTGTGTTTTTATCATAAGGCCTTACAATTATTTGTTTCTTAGCAGGGGCAAGAATTTGTTGCTTTTCATGTCGGGGACTTTAGATGATCTGTGTAAAGTGATAGGCCTTTAATCTCAGCACTCAGTAGGCAGAAGCAGGCAGATCTCTGAGTTTAAAGCCATTCTGATCTACAAAGTAAGTTCTGACAGCCGGGGATACAAAGAGAAGCCCCTGTCTCAAAATTAAAGATGGGGGAGCCCACAGTCATTGATCTTCACCTTGCTCTTCGTGAGTGGGCAGTCCGACTTTAAACTCGTGCTTTAGCTGAGATACCCAGGAGCTAATGTAAACCTAATCTATGGGTCTAATAATTGCCTCGTAATATTATAAATCTCTGAAGAAAATCCTTTACACTCTAAGTGCAGCAGTAACACATTTTGCTTGTGTTGCTAAACACAACATTTAGTAAAAACTCAGTCACTGTAAAAGTAATTATCTACAATGGTCCAAAATGAGTGTAAATTAATTCCTTCATCCTAGGAGGTAAAAGGATGGAAATCTCAACCTGGGGTCGGTAGAAGACTCAAGTTAACCATCACTTCCCATGCCAAAAAAATACACCCTTCAAACCGTTGCATTGCTTAGAACTAGACTCTTGATTCAGTTCTGATGGAGTATCTTTCTCTCTCTCTCCAGGTTCATGGAAACCTTACTGCTGGCCACGGGCTCCTGGTGGAGCTGATAATCACATTCCAGTTGGTGTTCACTATTTTCGCCAGCTGTGATTCCAAACGGACTGATGTCACCGGTTCAATAGCTTTAGCAATTGGATTTTCCGTCGCAATTGGACATTTGTTTGCAGTAAGTTTTAAGTCCATTTGAATAATTGATCTTCTCATTTAGCCTCACCCTGAAGCAGGCCTGAAGATGCTGTTTGCAGTTGAATCTCTCTTTGGTTGTTTTTAGTATTAAGCAGCTGGGAACATTGTACTGTTTCCTGTGACCATCCATCCCTCTGCAGCTTTTACCAGTAACCAGTGACCTGACCAGTACAAAACCACTGCAACATTTGCATTATTTCAAGAGTGTTGTTTATTTCAGTGTTATCATTTTAATACATACATGTTAAACAGTCTGCCAACTAGCTGGACATACCCATGTACCATACTGCTTGTGCCATACAATACAGAGCTCATTCAGATCCAGCCATATCCGTCGATGTGAAGTGACCATGACAACTACAAAGTGGCTAAATGTCAGTGCTCCTTTGAAGATACAGCAGCAAGTTACAGCAAACGGCCCCTGTTAACAGTTCTATTTCCAAAATGTCTGAGGTTTTGTTCTTTTTCTCCGCAGATCAATTATACTGGGGCCAGCATGAACCCAGCGCGATCCTTTGGACCTGCCGTTATCATGGGAAACTGGGAAAACCACTGGGTAACTACTAAATTGATAAGTCCCATCTTACTGAAGTTAGGAACAATCGTCCACAAGACTCTCTCTTTTTTTTACTTTGGGCTAACTTAGTGCACTAGTTTCTGTTGCTTCCCCTCCCCCAGCCGCCCAACTCTCTACTTATTATTGCATCTGTCACAGGGAGTAAAACAGTCTAGCAGAATCCTGCTACAAAAGACCCCATAGCCTTCTGTTCTAGGTTTTCACTGAGAGTTGGGTTTTCTTGAAGCATTAGTCTGGATGTGTATCTGACAGATAGCAGCAGAATGCTTGTACATAGGGTTTCCTATGTAGAATAAATTTAAATGATAAACGTGTGCTGAATATTAGTGTTAAAGTCATTGAAAGAAAGGCTTCCTAGCAACAACAGAAAGCAATGTCACTATTTTAAAAAGAGAGAAAGAACTACTTTAAAGTACCGCCTATGACAAAGGTATTTAAGATCCTAGTTTGCATAAGAAGAGCATAATTCATAGCACAGGGGCTGGAAGCGTGTGAACTGTGGTTGGTACCAAATAAATGATGCAGATGTTTATGCCACTGTCACCACAGCTGTAGCCAGAAAAACAAATGAGTGCCAGGAAGGTGCACTTTTTAATCTCAGGACGAACCTTCCTGTCAACCTGGGCCGGGAGTAGTGTTTCTATCAACAAGAGAATTTATATCCTTTAAATCATAGACAATTGTCTATGCCACTCCTCATTAACTTAAATAACCTACAAACTACAAGAATAAAACATATATATGCAAGCTTGAGAAGAGACTTAACTTTTACTGCCATTCACATATTGTGAATGTGATTTCACATTTTAAAATTATAACTGTAACAATCTGTTGTTTGTGCCTTGATCTTATGCATGTGGCTACAGTGGCTCTGGGAACAGCTACTCAAGGATGACATGGCCCAGCAAAGGAGGAAAATATCACACCATGACTGTATAAACTCCTTTATACAAAACGTGTACTAAGTTGTTGAGACATAATTTGGGCACCGACATGCAAAATCTTGATCCCCAAAGTCATTCTTTGGACTGGTAGTTTTGCCACTGATATTTCTGAGAGGATTTACTACATTAACAAAAATAGAATTTACTTTATGTGTGTGATGTATGTTGAGGAGTGTGTGTGTGTGTGTGTGTGTGTGTGCTCATATGTGTAAGTATATACACACACATGCCGGGGTATCTGGATATCAGAGGACAACCTTGGGTATCAGTTCCCATTTTCTACCTTGTTCACAACAGGGTCTCTAGTTCACCACTGATCGCCAGGCCAGCTGGCCCTGGGGATTCTCTTACCTCTGCTTGCTGTATCCTATTCTCCTCTAGGAATACAGCAATTACAGCCATGCACTGTGGTGTCTGGATTTTATGTGGGTCTCAGGGACTGAAATTCACATCCTCACACTTGCATGGAGTCACTTTACCCATTGGGCAATTTCCCTATCCCCCAAGTGGAAAACTTTAATGATAAGTTTATAGATTGTACAATAAATGGGTGGGTTTTAATTAGGTAATATAATGACAATTTAGGAAGTTTTTAAAAACACTTTTATGTAGTTTATGTGTTTTTCTGTTTTCATCAATAAAATTATTCATAAAAATCAAAAAGTACTTTAAAGTTACAGAACTCTGTGTGGGAATAGCAATTTGTCACCCAGATTTATCTTTGAGGACACAGAGCCTGCTGTCTCCTCCGGAGTGTTATGGAAAGGGTAGTGATTGTTTGCTGAGGCTGTTCTCCTTGTGGGACTTGAGGCCTGTGAAGTAGCACCGATCTAATGAGATCTTACCAAGGGAACAGAGAGCAAAGGCATTTAGAGGAGGGCTCTCGTTTCTCCTTTGAAAGGGCACAGGGAAGATAAACTCTCCTTTGGGCTCTTTCATGTTCAAGATAAGAAGCTTGGCTGGTCCAGCGACTCTCCAGCTACTTCCCTGTTAAGGACATGTGCTCAGCTTCGGTGGGAAGCCTGGCTCTCCTTTACGCTGTACAGTAAAGATGCCGAGTACAGTTAATTTCCAGATGGTGTTTTAAGCGAGACATAGTAATTCTTTTCAGATAAGAGAACAAACAGTAAGTTAGTAAAAGGGTGTTCTAAAGCCAAGTAAACTAGACAGCTCAACTCAATCACTTAAGTATGCTATCTTAAGTAAGCTTGTAACATCTCCAACTGTCAACTTTCCAATACGTAAGAATGTATATTTTAATAATCTCTGTATCAAAGGTTATTAATGAGATGAGAAAAGTGCTCCATACAGTCCGCTTGAGTGCTCAGTAAACCGGGGCGTGGTCCCAAATGACTCTCCAGAGTGCATGTACTCTACAGCCCACGTCCCAGCCTAACCAGATGAGAGCTGCTCATTCTGGGTGCATCACTGAGTGATCAAACATGCTGTTTAACCTATGTAGAGCCACTCACTAGCCCTAGTCTAGTCACCTCGTGAACAGATCTACACTGCAGCACTACGCGGAGGGGAAACACTCTCCAGTGAGAAAGATGCATGAACTCTAGCATTTCCTCTACAGCGAAGACATCAAACTTTAAAGAGAAACTAATTTAAGGAAACTAATTAACAGCCAAGTTGGTTGCACACAGTTTTAAATTGTCTAAGAAATAGAAACCTAACGATTTTCATGAGCACAAAACTGCTAAGTGGCATTCTATTTAGTCGCCACAGCTGTGTGAAATTTATATATATATATATATATATATATATATAATAGCCCTGCTTTGCAGATAAAGAAAGTAAAACACAGAAGTCACTGGTGGTATAATCTAATTGGTGAAGTGCTTACCCAGCATGGCGGAAGCCCTTGGTTCCCTCTACAGTGCCACACACTGGGCTTGGTAGCACATGCCTATAATCCCAGCACTCCAGAAAAAAGCCACTGAGGGTTTAGCAGTTCAAGGCCATCAGCCTCTGCTATGTGGGTACAAGAGACCTTGCCTCTAAAGGGAAACTATCCCTGATCTAAGCACTCACACTGCTAAGTGGCGAGGGGTGAGCTGTATTCATTATGCATACTGAATAGCAAACACCTTAAATGATAAAAATGCATGATTATATAGACAATCAAGGTAAGAGGCTACTGCAGAATACATAAGAGGAACATGCTGCAAAAACTTCTTTTTTTCTTTTTATTTGAAGGAATTACCAGTAGAGTCTGCTTAAGTTGTGGAGCCACCAGAGCAGAGTTATTTCATGTTAAGATTTATCATAAAGTTGATAAGCCTGATGTGATGGTACCCACCAATATTTTGAACACTCATGATGCTGACAGTAGAGGAATGTGAGTTCAAGGCTATCCTGAGTTATGCAATGAGTCTTAAAAACAGCCTGAGCTAGACCTTGTCTATAATAATAATAATAATAATAATAATAATAATCAGAAAATTTAAAATATAATATTAAAATAAAGAAGATAGAAGACATTATTCTTTCTTATTTTATGCTCAAATGCTCTTTAATAATTTATGAATCTTTGATCTTTGATGTAGACTTGGTATATTTTATCATTTATTTTCAGATCCATCCCGTGTGTGTGTATGTGTGTGTGTGTGTGTGTGTATGACGCAGTTTCTGACTTGATTAAGTCAGTTAAACTGTGTACTCACGGGCTGTCCACTTCTCACCCTCCTCTACTCGCTGCCTCTCCTCTCCCATCTTTCCCCAGATATACTGGGTTGGACCAATAATAGGCGCTGTGCTCGCGGGTGCCCTTTACGAGTATGTCTTCTGCCCTGACGTGGAGCTCAAACGGCGCCTTAAGGAAGCCTTCAGCAAAGCTGCACAGCAGACCAAAGGAAGCTACATGGAGGTGGAAGACAACAGGAGTCAAGTGGAGACAGAGGACCTAATTCTGAAACCCGGGCTGGTGCACGTCATTGACATTGACCGCGGGGAAGAGAAGAAGGGGAAAGAGCCGTCTGGAGAGGTACTGTCTTCGGTATGACTAGAAGACGGCACCGAAAGCAGGAGAGACTCCCTAGCGTTGACCTCAGATGTCCTGCCACCCATCAAGGAAACAGATTTGTTATGAATTAGCCACTTGAGGTTCCTTGTTTCTTGTCTTATTACTAAGTTTGAACAACACATAGTTTACTATTATCAATGGGGGGGAAGAAGAAACCTATAATGAATATGAAATGTTAAAAAAAGGAAATATTTTTAAAGTATCCCCCCAAAGTTCCCTTCGTTAATAACAACAGAAAATGCTTACAAACATTCGGCCAAGTCTTGCCTTACAGAGCATGTGGGCACCTCCATGAGGAAGCTGGTATTGCCAATCCTCACCTGAATATTGACTTCACTGGCATGACTTAACAATGACAAAATGCAGTATGTCACAGTGCCTTACTCATTGAAACGAAGAAATGTAGTAAGTTCTTTCATAATCCATCCCTTATTTATAACTACCTCAAAGGAAAACAGTAGCCAGGGTCATTGCTGATATGCCATTAGTATATAAATGACAAATATCTGACCAGCAGATCCCAATCTAAGTTCATTATAATCCTTCTTCCTCCTCAAACCCCAAGAAACTATAGGGCTAAAATCAAGAAATTTGGAAAGAATATTAATTTGTGTCCATGTGTTAGCTCCATCTAACGGAATATATACATGGGACATCCATTGAGGTTCAGGATAGACAGACCCATGGAATCTGATGGCAAAGGAAGGGGGAGTCTGTATCCCTGTTACCAAATGACTGATCTGTTTTCAGTGCTCATTCTGAAATGCGACACACAAGCTAACCACCAGAGCTTTTAACTGCTTCATTTACTTTTTAAAACTTATTGGCAAAACTGGGGAATTTGTCTGTCATGCTGTTATCTATATTGAAGCATTAGCGGAGACGTTTTTGACAAGATCTTTACTAGCTGTGTCCTGACTCTGTTGGTATCTAAGCCCTGCTTCTTCTAGAAGGTGTAAACTGGTCCTGCCCATCCCAAATTCTAACGCCGCCTCTCTTCCCTCGACATCTGCTGATGAGCTTCACTGTGAGTGTTATAATACTTGGAGTGAGCCAAAATATGTGGGAGACAAGGTACAACATGGTTGCTTAATTAAAAGGGGAGGAGACAGTCTCTGTTCAAGTGTACCATGTGACCCATTTTTCCTAGTGCATATAGGACTAAGTGTTTTTAAAGTATTTACCCCACTGCCTGGTTCATCTGTTAAAATTGTTTGGTCTTCCCATACTGTTTTGCCTTCTGCCAATAGAACACTAAGGAAACCCCAGTTTCTTCCATTATAACCATCTAGTCTAGCACTTACCTTAGACAATGCACTGCAAATGTCAGTTTCTCTTAACAAAAGTTAGTAGTGGGAGAGAGAAGACCCGTCTCTGTGAGGACTAGCCAGCTAGCAAATGCCTGATAATCGAGGGCTTTCTTCTCCCAAGCACAATTCCGACTGTGTGACTTCTCATTGTTAATGGCAGTTTTGTGTCTGTGGCAGCGAGATAAAGGACCACTATTAAAGCTGATTCTCTTCGGTGCTAGGAAACTGATGTGCAACTTCCCAGACAGCCACGACCCTAGCGGATGCCTCTCAGTGCCACCGGCATCCTCTATGGTAGATGCTGGAAACACAGGCTCCCTTTGTGGGGCGTCGAATATACTACACCAGAGACAGAGGTTCCTCCATAACCGAGTGGCACTCACAGAACCAGGGCATAAACCTCCCAGGGGTGGGTCGTGCGCATTATTTCAAGTGTCTTCACGATATGCCACATAGGCTTAAAGGTCAGGGTGCTTCAGTTCAGAAGGTGGTTTCAACCATCAACAAACATGTCAACTTCGTTGGCAGGATAGCTGAGCAGATGTCTGGTCACCCTTTCAAAACCCTGGCCTGTGGCTGTTTCTGTATGCCGTGCAGCTTACTTCGTGCAGACGCCTTTAACACTCATGTCCAGTGACCGCGTTCAGCATGGTAGGGACTGAAAAGCAGTGAATTCTGGCTTTGTGCTTTGATTTTCAGCAACTGGCATAGTGCCAGGCACACAGTAGGTAATCAAAACAAGCATGTTATTCGATAAGAATATATGACTCTCATTTAAGATTGTCAATAATCTTTTCTAATTTTTAATTTTGCTCAATATTTAATAAAAGTATAATTTCTCGTATCATCAAGGGAAAGCAGCATGGGCGTGAAAACAAAGAGCGTGTTCCCACAATCTAGTGTTTCAGAACAGAGGGGAAGGGCTCCAGCACTCTCTATCGTTGCACAGGAGACAATATGTCTTGTATTTCACTCAAGGCTCTGCCAGTAAAAACGTAATGACATTGTACCTTTCTAATGACATCTTTGCAGCAGGGGGCTACTGCCTTGTGGGTGGCACCAAATTATCCAGTGTATTAGGAGATCAGGGCTTTTCCCTTTAATCCCTTCTTATTATTGAAGTGCGTAGTGCTGAACAGCACAGTGCTGTTCCCAAGAGACAGCCCGTGACTGAAACTGCGCAGAGATCAGAACCGAGAAACCGGAAAGACATAAAAGATTCATATGAGCCATGGAACAATGCCAACTGTGTTCCCTTGGGAAGAGAGAACAGACACCCCCCAAAATTTCAAGGTGGTCCATACAATGAAAATGTGCATAGTCTGTCAAAACAGTAAAGAAGGGAATCGTTTCCTTTAAGATTTGGGGGGGGTTTTAAAAATGTAGGGCTCAGATTTTCAATGTGTGTTTTCATTTTTTCCCAAAACTCCTAACTTTTTACACTGCTAAGAAGTCTTTTCTGGAACCTAAACCACTGGTAATTTTAATTATTTCTGTCATGTGATGCCACTCATAAATCCTTTTCTTCAAACATTAGAGGGGTGTCCTACCACAGCTCATGGACACTGCTGGCCAGAGCTCCTCTTAGCTAAAGATTTCATAAGGAGATTAGAAATCTCTGGAAAACGTGCGTGATATAAATAAACTGATTTACTAGAGGTCAATTCCAAAAAGCACAACTCTTCTAGATGAATCCAGGCAATGTGTGTACTGATCTAACCTCATTGTGGGAGCAAAATTCCAAAACTGCATAACAGATCAAAATGCTGGCACTAATCCTTGTATGGCCCTTTGCTGCAACTCGCTGACACCTTCCCCAGATGTCACAAACGTGACAGAGACACTGTCTCTTTGGCAACTGAATAGACTACTTAATAAAAAAAAAACTACAAATAATTCTTAAGATGAGACTACAAGATATGTAAATTTGGAACATTTGGAACCTGAAAGTAGTAACATCTTCCCCCAGTAAACTCACAGAGTGGAAATTATTAGGAAAGCATGGTTGCTGCATTAATAACAAAATTCACTTTCTTTACCTCAAATTTTCTGAGCTCATCTCTAAACTTCATTGCTTTTCAGAAAACCCTAATAACACAAACCTTTGAAAATTGTAATTCTCAGAAATAAATGTTAGACGTTAACCTCAAAAATCAAAAACTGTGAATACTCACTTTTTGCAAATAATTTCCCATAGCTATGAAAATACACAACCAACATGTTCTAGAACAATGCCGTGAACACTATATTTAAGAGCAGTTACACAGTTACCCTTTTAAGTAAACAATAAAGAGCTAAAAAATAAACCTAAGTTATATATCCTATTGTAATGTATTTCTAGAGCCTTTTCAGGGTTGATTAGGCAAACACACAATTTATGGAAACATATAAACAATTATTTGTTATTTTATGACCCAAATCACAATAAAGTTGTAACTCATGATGAACTAAAGAAGATAAAATAAATGTATGGTTATATTCATAATAATTTATTAACTGAAATGTTATTCCAACATTAAAGTTAATGCTGGAGAGATTTAAACTGTAATGTCTAATATTTGAAAAAGTCTATTAAAAGTCTTAGCAGCGTGACTGGGCTCCATGTCTTATGTTGCATGTCATGTTACTGAAGGTGAAGTGAAACCTGCCCCGCCACTGCTGAAGCATGCACAGGCAGCCTGTTTATACCGTTTATACTGGGTTTCATGGTCTAAGTTGAGAAGGATGACTGACCAGTTCTCTTCTTCAAGGAACAGGTTCCACCAAGATACGAACTCAGGTCCTCTGGATTCAGAGTCCAGAGTATTAACCATTGCACCATAGGAGCTAGTGGCATATCTCACTCGCACAAATAAATCCTTAATGTTTTTTAAAGTAAACTATATTTGATAATGTTTTAAAATTCAGTTGCAGTATTTGCACTTCCATTAAAATGCATGGGGTCGTTGATATTTGATTATAATCTACGCCAAATGGTGGCAGATGCCATAAGTTCATTTGTATTTTCTGAAAGCCTGTATAGTTTATACTTCAGTTGTCCCTGACTGCAGACATTGAAGACTGGGTTTTCTTAGGCTTCTTTCATAATGTCCACATCTACAAAATAGACTATAAGGTTAACAGCTATCATCATGGTGAGTCTAAACTCCAACACCTGACTGGCACTGCTGCATAGATGGTCTACCTTCAGAGTGTCTGGCTACTCCTGTCCACCCAGATGGATAACATAGGCTCAGGAAGTTCTTATTTGCCCCACCCCCATGCTTGGTTTAAAGGACTTCCCAATTTTTAGCACTTATAGACCTTCCTTGCAAGGTTGGGGGAATCATGATTCTTAGGAGAGAGATGAATATATATCTCTCAAAGCGTCTGTCATATTATGGTGAAACGGTTTGTTTAGGTGCCTGTCTCCTCCACTAGATTCTAAACTCCTTAATGGCTTTTAATGTGTCTTATTTATCCTGTATGTTTCTCTTTCCCCACTCTCATCCCTGTGCTGCAAGAGGCTTGACACCCACTGGATGAGGGCTCGCTGCAAGGACAAGGCAATTAAAGAGTGTCTTAGAAACATGAGACAATGCCACAAAGCCTTGTTTTTATCATGGTTGCTCTGTGCTGCTGAGATATGTGCACTAAATATTTGAATTCTTATAATTCCAAGTAGGAGCTCAAAATTAGTTCAAACACAAGAAAAGAAAAATTCACACAGAGTATGCAACACTAATTGGATTTCTAAAATGTATACCCAATGCGGAGGCAACGAGACATGTTTTCATTGCTGTGTTTGTACAATGGCCAGATGTTAGATGAGATTTAGTTCAGTTGAACACTTCAGCAAGCAAAGTATTTTAACAAGCATGGAAAGCTTAAGGTAGAAATGTCTACTTTTTGATGATTATTTGGTTTGGGAAATTTCCAAATCTGTATGTCACCTGAACTAATTCTTACCATTTTTTTTTTAATTTTCACACTTCTTCCTTGTCTTTGTTTTGTTGTTGTTGTTGTTGTTTTGTTTATTTTATATCCTGACCACGGCCTCTGCTATCCTTTTATCCTGGTCTCCCCCCATCCCTTATCTCCCCTTCCACTCCCCAAACCTTTCCTCTTCTGTCTGCATCCAGGAATGGGCAGGTCTCCCATGAGTGTAAACAAAACATAGCATATCAAGTTATAGTAAGATAAAGCAACTCGCCACGTATTAAGGCTGGACAAGACAGCCCAGTATGGGGAGTAATATCCCAAAAGCTGGGACTGGAGAGATGGCTCAGAGGTTAAGAGCATTGCCTGCTCTTCCAAAGGTCCCAGCAACCACGTGGTGGCTCACAACCATCTGTAATGGGGTCTGGTGCCCTCTTCTGGCCTGCAGGCATACACACAGACAGAATATTATATACATAATAAATATTTTTAAAAAATTTCCCAAAAGCTAGTAAAAGAGTCAGAGACAGCCCCTGTTCCCTCTATTAGGAATACCACAAGAGAGCCAAGCTACACAATTGTAACATGTGCAGAGGGTCTAGGTCAGTCCTATGCAGTCTCCCTGGTTGTCGGGTCAGTCTCTGTGAGCTCCTAC